CAAAACACTTACCTTAAAGCTGATTTGACTATTTGAACTCACTCTGAGGTTACAACTTCAGTTCTCATGACGACCATCAACTACAGCCATTTCGATAACAGCAACGATAACGATAAGCCTAAGCACATTATTATTTTTATGTAGCCCGGGTACTTACTGTTTTAACTGCCGCTTATATTTACGGATAATCAAGCTTACTGCACATACAACTGACAGTATTTCATCAGTCCTTCATATAATTTCAGCACCGTATTGTATTCGTAATTATTTAATCTCATGACTTTAGACAAGAACAATTTTTCTCCAGACCTTCCTGCGATTCTTGGGAACAGCTATGCGACCCTGATGGGTCCGGGAAATACTATGTTAGAAAAATAGTTGTTCTTTGTTGAGATAATTGCCTTAAGCCTGTTATATCAACAGAACGTCCGTGCTTTGGGATGACCAATGTATCCGCAGCTCCTCAATACTCTTCCTATGGGGTAGCTGTTACCGTATTCCAGAAGGATTTATTTCTCTTTGAAGGCAGATCTGCTTCACCTTATTCATTTACACTGCATGCGGCTTCATACGCGTCTACCGAGTTTCGGTTCCTAAACGAGCAGTTCACGAACTGAATTATGTGATGTATGCTGAACCAGTTCGTCTGACTGAATAAACTTCATTTTCCTAATCACGACATCTACAGAAGTCACCTGTGCCCGAAAGAGAATAGAGTCATTCCTTAAGCTGTCCTTCCATATAGCCCTCATTATTGATTGAGAATTACGCCGATGTACACAGTTTAACCGTCGTTATTGCTCCTTCGTTAGAACAACCGCCTCCACGCCGTAGAACAGCACTGACTTACCAGAGGCAAGGTACAGGGGATTTTCGTGAGAAGGGTAACTCCTTTCCTAGCTCAGATGTTGGACAGGTTTCCAAAAGCTTTCGAAGCTAGGGCAATGGTGTCGTCGCTGGAACCAATGGAGCAGAGAGAGTGAAACTGGTCCACCATCTAAAGGTCTGCATCCCGTGTTCCACACACAAATCAGCCGTGCTGGGTAGCATATTAATAACTTTTCATTTTTTGCATTAAGCAAGAGGCATGCTTTGTCGTTGTTCTGTCCACGTAAGGCCGACAGGTAGAAAAGCACGATTCCCATGATACCTCTCAGGGCAATTTCACCTGCAAATCCGGATAACTGCGCCTTCTCCTGATATTCAGACTTTCTTCTTTGCCAGAGCATTGTGGCTGTTCTTCTTCCTGAATCGCGTACTGGAAAAATGTATTTTAAAATTAACTCTTTAATGTGCAATACTGTAACTGTCACAATTATTTGTCATTTTTTGACTCTGTTAACACATTCCTCATGCCGTCTTCTTAAAAGGGAATGTGCAGTTCTGTAAGACACGCAAATGACCATACATTTCTCTTCTGTCTCTGAGCGTTATGCCACTGTCACGATTCGTCTGATGGTTTTGGCAGGTGTTGTGGCTATTTTTACTGAAGGTTTGGCAAACGGTAGAAAACTGCCTCACCACGCACTTTCGCTCTATGCGGTTACTGCGATACTTAAATCCATCAATTAACGCATGAGGGGCTTCAAATGCTTCCATTGTTGATCAATTGTCCTGCTATCGAGCACGGAAACTTACACGTTTTGTCTTTCTGGCGATGATTAGAGACACGTGACACTGCTTTTGTTCTTCGATTCATGTGCTGAAGAATCTCTTCATTTTTTTCCACAAATCATTTCTCGACAGTCTTTGTCGACGTTGCAGCCACTGCAGGATAAACAGGAAATGTTTTGATCTTCCCTGAATCCTGAGTGATCATTCGGATGCATGTCTGATGTCGAGAGACGGAAAATGCGCCCCATTTAACGCTCACATTCGATTCAAGCCTCTTTATTATTTCCACTGTAGTTTTCGAGTGTGATGAGTTTGTTCGTTTGCAATGAGCCAAAACACAAGGAGGCGACCACGTCCAACACCACGTACAAAATCAACTGATGGTTTTGGTGTGCATCACTCAACTGCTATGGGATACTGGAGCATATTGTTTCCATTATGGAAAATATGTTTATAAGAACCATGTATACTGTCAAAATTGAAGAAGAGTTACCTGGTTCCCTATTAACTGCGGTGTTCGCCGGGAAGACATACTTTAGGGCTTGCTATTCAACACTGTTAAAGGCTTTATTCTTTGAAACATTGCTGATCCGGCAAAGGTGAATTTCTTATTCTAGAGGGAGGACGCAGTTCAGGATATCCGGCTAGATACCTTGGTGGTCTGGAGTAAGTTGAGGATTTTTTTCCTGATGAGTAATATTGCGAGCGAGTTCTGCCTCACTAAATATACGTGACTGCTTCAGTATGCGACACAGCTGCAAAAGTCTGCCTCTTTCTTAACCTCCAGAAGTCAAAAGTTGAAAGGTATCCTTCCCCCGTTACAGTTGATCTGCAAGAGGAGCAGAGAGGTGAAGCGCTTCGGGCAGTGGACCAATTTAAACACATCGGCTCCATCATTTTAAAATAGGACGATCGCCATAACCTCGAGTGCCATTGGTAGCCTGTTCAGTATTTGGGCTTGGAAAGGAGTAACTCCATCTACAAACATCCGTCTGTACTTTGCCTCTGTCACGTCCATGCATAGACACGGCTGTTCTAATGAAGGAACAAGAAATGCCATTCAATGACATTACCTCAAGAACGACCATATCTTATTTCTATCCTATTCTTGACAAAGTTTCCTCCTAGGTTGCAGATTAAGAAGAGGAGATTGGCCTGTTAGACAAACTGTTTTGATATGAATTATTTACTCCAGGCCGTGAACTTTTTCTGTCGGACCCGAAACGCTGCAGACGTCGACCAGGAGGTCAACTTGTAAGAGCATGGTATAAAGAGATCTAATTTCGATGAAAAATAAATCCTTCTGTGATGCAGTAGGCGATGCATTGCAGTGAAAGTGTTGAAAAGCCGGGGACACAACTGATATCACATATCAGAGACATTATGCTTATGAAAGCGATTGAGATGATTATGTGAGCAAATAACAACAACCATATTATAATAGACCGATCATCACACAGAATGTGACTGAAACGGTTGATCAGCGTCGTCTCTGCGGAAACATGTGCCATAAAGTTTTCTAGAATGATGTGGAGACATTTCGACAGGTTTAAAGTTTTATTCTTTAGACGGCGTTGTGAGCAATGGCTCGCCAGTACTATGAATTTGTATCCGTGTACAAACTTGTCTTTGAACGGAAGTAGAGGTCAAACAGGGTGTCGATCATTTGGTCCCGTGAGCGTCATGCAGCGCAGCATTGCACTATTGAGCAACGCATAATTCGCATAATGATTATATCACCAATCGTCTATCAGTCGGTTATTCCTGCCACTCTGATGTGTGCTATTAGCAAGCTATCAGCACGTCTTTTTTGCACCAAAACTTTCATCCGTATGAGTCAGTGTTTCCCGATGGATCAGTTGTTCACTCGCAACAGTCGTGCTCTGTATGGAGGATGCGAGGACCGAGGCTTCCATTTTCTCGACTGATTTATACGGTAGCAGAATGCCCCCCACTGTACCTCCAAGTGCCCCCCCCCGTGTTTGAAATGGCCTTAAGGCATAAAGTGATTTTTCAGTTGCCGCGTTCTATGCATTACTTGGCTGTTTACGGCAAGCTTAAGGGACTGGCATGGCCGCGAGCTAGAGTACGCAATGCCCCATTTCACCATCACGTTCTGTAGATATTGATTGCTTTCCGTTCTGCACGATGGTGCGGAGGAGGTTTGAGTTATCGAGGGCATGACGATCGAACTGCTATCAAAACATTTGAGATTGTTGTGCATATAAAAATCAACAACCGGTTATCGAAGCCTGTCCGCTTCACTCGTCATGAATCGCACATCATACATAGCCAAATCTATACAAAAGGCTTTCACGGGGTATAAAGTTGAAGAAACTTATTAGCACGCGAGGTTGGTGGTGGCAAGAGATGAATGGTTCGCTTGGCAGGCCTGATAATTGCTTGGCAGCGTAGCCTCGAGAAACTACTTACTGGCGACGTGAAAGTCGCGACACAGGCACTTTTTCTGTTCACGCGGTTCTTCCTTGACGAGCCATTTTTCTCACTGTCAAATTGAGGACTTCAGAACGACTAAACGTGGCCGATGCC